ATTCATGGAGCTGAGTCCTTCCTGAAAAGCCGCCAGTCTCTCGGCTATAATCAGGATTTTACAACATTTTATTGAACCCGAAGATTCATTACCGTGTTCACAAGAGACCTCCACGGGCCTCTGTCTTGAATCATATGAATCCAGTCCATACCACCCCGTCCTATTTCTCTAAGATCCATCGTAATATTATCCTCCCACCGACGTCTAGGTCTTCGTAGTGGCCTGTTCCGTTCTGGCTTTCCCACGTTCCTGTTTTCCCATTCGTGTTACATGCCCTGCCCATGCCATTCTTCTTGACTTGATCATTTTAATTGTATTTGGCGAAGAGTACAACTAATGAAGATTCTCATTATCGTTCTTCTCCGCCCTCCTATGATTTAAGTCCTCTTCGGTCCAAATATTCTCCTCAGCACCGTGTTCTCACATATCTTCAGTCCTTGTTCTTTTTTTTTTTTTTAACGCAAGAGACTAAGTCTCACACCCGTACGAAAACGACAGCAGATTTTTAGTTTGTATATTTTAGTGCTTCACTGTAGAGCCAAATGTGGTACCAAGTTAGATCCGTTTTGCCTCTTGACGTAACCTACACGGTTTATTTGTTTTCCTGTGTTTAACAAGAATAATTCCGCAAAAAATATGTTTTGCGTATCGGCATCTCAGAACTTCCGCCTGAGAATGTGGGCTCGGCGGGAGGCTGGGTTACACATCCTTTGACCGCGACAAAATGTCTATGGCACTGTTTGATGCCGCCAACATGTCTCCTCATACAGTGTGACAGCAGTGTGACTCGAGGCACGGTAGCAGTAGCCAAAAGCTACATGTAGGTGAGAAACGTACCGCTTTGTGCAATTGATTCTTCAGTTATTTAATGACGCTTTTTCAACTATAGCGCCATTTAGCACACTTTTGGCCAAGAAATTCTCCGCTGTGTATGGAAGATTCGTTGCCGTGTTAACAAAAGTTGGCGGCCAAGATCTTACTGTGCCAGATTAATCTAGGCTGTATCTACGTATCCAGTATCCTAGAGAGTTTATATATTTATATTAGCGCTCCACCGAGCAAATTGGTTCAAGCGGGAACACGTCTGACTTGTATTTGAAAGGTGCCTGGTTCGATTCTCAGCTGGTATATTGACTACCGTTGCCGGAGGCTTTCGTGGTTTTCTTTAGTCTCTACAGGGAGATGCCTGGATAATACCTCAAAACAAGCCACCAGCGCATCCTACGTCATCCTTTCCAATTCATCATTTCTTAATTGTACCATAGAGTCCAGGTAGTGCAGTCGGTATAGCGGCTGGCTACGGGCTGGGCGACCGAGGGGTCGGAGTTCGAGTCTCAGTAGGGTCAATAATTTTCACTTTTCCAAGTCATCCAGGCCGCCCCTGAGGCCCACCCAGCCTCCTATCCAATGGCTACCGTTGACTCTTTACGGAGGGGGCGGTGTTGAAGCTGATCTCACATCTCCAGCTAGTGCCGAGGTCAAGAAAACCTGGGTCTGTACATCCACTCCCCCATGCGCCTTCATTACGTAGTGCTTAATTAGTTAAGCACATGGACTTTACCTTTACCTTTTTTAATCGTGCCATTCGACGCTATAGGTGTAGCCTGAGCTACTGACGGCGTCGTTAAATAAACTGTTAATTAAAGTGGAAAGTACGAGTATAGTATTATCCTCCTAACGAAACCAGGTATTCGAGGAGGATCTTTCATTTGTTAGTTTGTTTATTCGCTCATCTGTACCATTCCTTCATCCGCACATTCACTTCTGGCTTCCCTTCTCTGAGGCTTAGGTTAAGTTCCAGCATTGTACCCAGACTACGCACCGCACGGCACCACGCGATGAGCTGCACAATCATACATCCGGTTCGGACCACCCTTGACCCCCATGCCCTGCCGCTGCTGTCGGCTGAAGATGCTCGCTCTCGCCGTGAAGATGCAGGGGGTCGCGTAGGGAAGGTTGCGCTTATCTGTTCAATGAATCTGTACTCTGAGGCTTTTTGCAGCTTGCAGTCAAAATATTCCTCCAGTGAAACCCGGACATGCTTATGTAAAACTCATACCTAGAGAACTGCACCGACCAGGTTGACACAGCAGTATTTGAGAGGCACACAGGGACTTTGCCTTCATTACCAAGACATTTTTCGCGTCTCCATGATAACAGCAGGTCACAGTTTTCCATTCGTAGAAGGAATCTAAATTTATAAATTCTCCACATGAGCAATGTAATTGTTGCTGCTATTCAGTTCAGGGTCTGTTGTTTGCTGCTCTTCTCGTGTCAAAACGCTTAAAGGCAAAAAAAAGTAAAGTTATCCCTGTACTTAATTATGCTCTATGCCAGGCATGTCCAACGCGTCGATCGCGGGACGATTTTTGGTCGATCTCATAGGCCTATAAGGAAATTATACGTGAAAAGCATGTAAATTCATTTGTAATATAATATGAATATATTAAGATTTTGAAGGGAAAATACGTATTAAAGTAGTCTGTACTTTCAGTGTATGTTGCTTTTACAACAAACATCGTGTGTCGTGTTATTTTTACCAATATTTTTGCTTAAAGCGAGGTACGACGATAGGATGGGGTGGTACATCACTAGCAGTTTTTACACTAAAAAGTCGATCACAACCTGTTTGAAGTTGGACATGCCTGCTCTGTACCATGAAGACGTAAGGAGGAGTGGAGGTACAGCTACGCCACTCATAACCTCAGTACGAGATAAGGGTGAGTGGTCAGCTTCACGGCCCTGTCGCTTTACCTGCGGGGAAGCAGCCCCCAGTACCCAGTGGATAGTAGGCCAGTCTGGATGCTGTACCGAAGAGAGTAATTTTTTTTCCTCACTCATCCACCCCATAGCCTAGTCATTATACTGACGAAGTGGCTCTTTAAAGATTAAAGTATACAAAACGATAATTTTACCTGGTATTTTATATGTATATTGTTAAAATTAGTCTTTCCCATGTTGAGAGAACATAGATTATGAAGATTACTGCCTAATTGTTAAGGAATAAGGCAACCAAGTGTAAGAGGCTCACATGTTTTTAAACTTTATGGATTCCATCCTGTTGTGTATTCATGTGAATTGGACTATCAGCACAACATAAAGAGGTATAACTTCAAGGTGGAGACAAAATAGATGTTGTGGAATTTGCCTGATGATGACCTAGGTAAAGATCGAAACATGTAGCATACTCGTACACCTGCTTACATTAAAGGAAAAAGAGACACCACAACATCTGTTTTGTCTCCACCTTGAAGATATCCTTCTTTATGTTGTGGTGACTGTCCAATTCACATAACAGTTGCATGTTTTTCTCCCATAGGACCATCTTCAGATGTTCATATGATAAAAGGAGATTGCTTGCATATATATTAAAATTAAAATACATGTAGTCTCAAATTATACAGTATATGTTACCACCTATATACAATTTTAATGTGCACATAAGAAATCTTCTTTTTATCAAATGAGCCTCAAGAGATGATCCGATGAGACCAAAATATGTAAGACAATTATAGTAACTTAAGTTTTTAACATGTCTTGATACCCTTGGTGGCTGTCTTATTCCTTAACAAATAATATGAAGTGATAGTCCATATGTCCCATTTTAAGACAGGGTTACTGTCTTGGAATGTGAAAATATGTATTTGGTAGATGTTTACTTATGTTTTAGGAACATTCTGCCACCTTGTTTGGGATCTCACTCTTTACCATGAAGAAGGGGGGGGGGGGCAGCACGTTGAACCGAAACATCTGTGTACATCTACCAGACTATCCAGTGTCACATGTTAGAAATCAGTGATTTCCATAGTCACCATCATGAGATCCTCTATCTTACATAGATCATGTATGAGAATAGTGAACGTAAGAGAGAGAAAGTGACAGACAGCTGGAGAAAGTTGCATGAAGGGGAGCACCATAATTTGTACTCTTTGCCATATATTATTCATGTGACTTGAGTCAATGAGTATGAAATTGGCAGTGCAAGCAGCACTTATAGAGTCTGAGGATTTCATATAAAATTTTAGTCAGAAAGCCTGGAAGGGAGAGGTTGGTGAAGATGTCTACAGAACTTGAATGAGAAAGTGTTATAAATTGCTGCTGGTTTAAGGAACAATCTTGACTTGTGTAGGTAATGTCTCTGTGTTTAAGCGGTGCACCATCTTCGGTTTAAGGGGTACAGCTGTGTATTGAAACAGTGTCACCTTTACCCATGGATGAAAGGGTTCTTGTATCCACCAGATTTAATCAGTTCACCTCACATAATTGAACATCTGTTGAAGGCTGGGAAATTATAGTGTCTCATGTTAGAATAATCAGGGCGGAAGACAGAGACAAGAGTTCCGCAGAAACATTGGTCCCTAGTTACTAATATGCATGGCTTCACTCCCAGGAAGACATTAATCTTCAAGGCGTGTCATGTTTCTCTCAAGTTCCTCCAGGCATATTCTGTGGTAGTACCTACAATAGGCCATATCCTGCCACATTCTTCACATATTGTTGATCAGGATAAACCACCATTTGATGCTGTATAACAATTATGTAGTTGAAATGTCAGGCCACCCCATAGCTCAAGCGCTTAGTCTCTGGCTTCCCACCCCGGCGGCCCGGGTTCGATCCCGGGGTCTGGTCAAGTGGGATTTGTGGTGGACAATGTGGCACTGGGGCGGGTTTTCTCTGAGTACTTCGGTTTCCCCGGCCAATCTTCATTCCACCAAATTAAATTCTCCATCATCATAATCACCTGGGGCAGGTACAATAGGACAATCAGTGGCCGTCGTGCCAAGTGGACCCAGTTAGACTCCACCCCCACTAAGCGAATTATAAAAAAATTTTAATTGAAATGTTGCTAGGTAAACTATGATACAAATAATATCTATGTTTCGTCATTATACATTATTGTACACGTATACTGACTGTGGGTAAATACAGACACTGACCGGATATGTGACTTATTGGACTCAACAGTAATACTTATATTGAAATTACTTGGTTGATTACAGAGCTATGTAGACACACTGTGTAATACCGAGCGAGAGGATAGAGCTTCTTGTGGGGGCGAGGATTCAAGCTATGACTCCGATTATGAGGCAGAAGACTTGGCATCACACCATGACGTGAGCCGTACGGTATCAGATACCCTGGGAGCAGAGTTCGCTGAGTATGTGTCCGGCCCTCAGTCAGCACCAGCCCAGCCTCCACAACAAGGTTCTGCAGGTACAGAATATGGACACTTTATAATGTTATTAATCATTCATGGGCAGAATATATATAGGGTGATGCACTTGAAATCATACTGTTGTAGAGAATATTGTGTAGAATGCTGCATTCTGGGGTGTGATTCCATGTAGACTAATACATGTTTGTTTTTTTATTGCAAGTGGGGTGGGACTAAGTCCCTTGCACTGCAGCCACTTCTGGCCTATTGTGCCAGCCCCAGATGATAGGTGAGGGTGATTGTGGAGTAATTGGTGGAATGAAGATTGGCAGGGGAAATCGAAGTACTCGGAGAAAACCTGCCCCAGCGCCACTTTGTCCACCACAAATCCCACTTGACCAGACCCGGAATCGAACCCGGGCCCTGGCGGTGGGAAGCCAGCGACTAACAGCTTTAGCTATGGCGCGGCCTTCTAATACCTGTTTACTAATATTTTGGATGGATATATTGGGTAAAGGAATAAGATCCTGAAGATGAGAGCAGTACATTCCTCCAAGATGTTGAGAAACATCTGCTGGACTATACATCCTCACATACCAGAAGACAGGGTTCTTCACAGTCACCACCATGAGAACTTACAACCTCACAGAAAATGTAGTTAATATCAAAATATGCTGTCACTGAAACATATGAGTTCATAATTATCTAGTTCTGCTCCTACAAAAGAAACTGCTGTATTCACCATGATGGTGCTATATATTCTGCAGTTAAGACAGTGGATATGTGGTAGGAATTTTGGAAACAAGCTTCATTTTGAAGGAATCATGGCCATAGATCCCTATGTTTTACATCTGCTAATTCTTTTTTATGTCATCTTAGAAACGGTATGTACCAAATCAGTCCAAGAAGCATACAGCAACTGAAAGTGAATATTGGAAATGCTGTCAACAGCAGCACAATGGATACTGTTTGTTTACGCATGTCTCTTGAAACATGGTCAGGAGGGCTGATTATGTATTCAGGGACTTGGAGGACTCCTCCAGCATGTTTTGGGGAACAGTGATTCATGTTTTATGTTCATTGAAATATAAAATGCAATTTGTTATAGTTGGGTACAGTTTTAGAAGGATCAGTCTGTGATAAAGATAAACATTTTAGATGAGTGTTATGTATACTGTATAATGTTATATGGGCCAGCACAGCTCAGTTTGTAGTGTGATTGACTTATGGTCTGGGTAGCTGTGTTCAGTTCCCAGCAGAAGAGGACATTTATTCACTTCACCATGTTCAGACAGGCTCTGGAGCCCAGTCCTATAATAGTGGTGACTTTTTCCCCAGAGAAGAGCAGTTGAATTGTGAAGCCGACTAATAGCCATCTAGTGTCAAAATTAAGAATGTATGGAACCTTGTACCTCTACACTTCTTATTACTGATATAGGTACATTTTCTATACTGCAGCAGGCAAAATTATAATTTTATAATAAATCGTTAGAATTTATCAAGCTTGTTAAAATTGTAATATTGTATTTAAGGTTCTCAAGGCGGTGACTGTGAAGGGTACAGAAAAGTAAGCTGTCTGAGAGACTACCAGAAGCTCTGCTTGCTACCACCTCCCAGTTTTATACTTAGCTCACTCTTGGACCCTGAAAATGGAGACAGTATGTTCCTCTAAAATGTTGGGCTGTCTCCAAACCACATGATGTTACTATGTAGAAGACTGTACTCTATACTGCTGTTATTTATTATTATTATTATTTAATTAAATTTCTGTAATCCATACAAGATCAAATGACCTATAGGATATAGAAACTGTCATTATAAATATATAACAATAGTATAACAGTAAATCTCATATACATGTCATAAATCTTACAGTAGCCATCTGAACCAATTTTACATAGAATTAATACAAATATGGTAGTAAAAGTAAATTACAACTATGAGGGTCATACTGAAAGTCATGAGCAACAATTTTTTGTAAAGTAACATGCTTTATTATTGACAAACCAAATACACCACCTCAATCTACAGACCTTTCTTTCTTTTCCACATAATTGCCACTTCTTTGTACACATTTCTCCCAGCGTTCTGGGGGTTTCAAAATTTCCCTTCTGTAAAATTCTGTTCCAGCCATCCGAAGACACTGAAGCACTGCTTTCTGAATTGCCTCCCTTGTCTCAAAACGTTGTCCACACAGCTGATCCTTCACAAATCCAAAAAGATGGTAGTCGGAGGGTGCCAGATCAGGGCTATAGGAGGGGTGTGGAAGAACTTCCCACCCCATCTTTGCAATTGCTTCCAATGTGAGACGAGCAGCATGGGGGCGAGTCTTGTCATGCAGGATGATGATGTTTTGTCCCGGACGTTTATCGTGCAGTGCACAACGGAGCTTGTAAAGTGTCTGGACATAACGAGCAGCACTGATGGTTTGCCCAGGTTCCAGGAATTTGGCCAGAATAAACCCCTCTGCATCCCAGAAGACTGTGCCCATCACCTTCGCAGCTGATGGCACTGTCTTTGCCTTCTTTTTTGATGGAGAATGCAAATGGTGCCGCCATTCCATACTCTGCTGTTTCGTTTCAGGCTCAAAATGGTGAAACCAGCTTTCGTCACCTGTCACAATACAGAGCAAAAAATCATCGCCTTCATGTCGATATCTCTGCAGCAGTTCTGAGGTGATGGCTTTTCGCTGACCTTTGTGGTCTTTGGCCAGTAACTGTGGGACCCAACGAGCACAAACTTTCCTATAGCCCAAGCTTTCAATCATCTCCTGTACTGCACTGTGCCCTATTCCAAGTTTTCGGACTATTGTGTCCACAGTCACACGCCTGTCATCTTGAATGATCTCATCCACTCTTTCCTTGTTGCGTTCAGTTGAGGCTGTTCGAGGACAACTGCTCCGAGGCTCATCTTTGATGCTGGTGTTCCCATCTTTAAAATGTTTCACCCATCTTCAAACACTGCTCGCACCCATGCACACACTTCCATAAGCACGCCAAAGTCTCTGGTGAATTTCTGCAGCAGGGATTTGCTCTTTCACAAGAAATTTGATGACAGCAAGCTGGCGAAATGACATATCGTCGGCCATTTTGTTAGGAGTGATACTGGTCACGTGAAGCTATTGACGTCACAAGACACTCAAGCTTAACACAACAGTGGTTTCACCTACCACTGTACTCTCTTTTGTCTGCTATTCCCAGGTTGCATGCAAAAAAAGTTGCTCTTGACTTTTGGTACGATCTACGTATTAACTAAATAATGTAAAGGTATTCAATGGGAAGTTGTTTTGTAAAATTCATCAATGCTATAAAATGCATGTTCAGTGAGATAGCTTCTCAATAAAGATTTGAATTGCTTAACATCTTTAGATAACAATTTAATATTCAAAGGTAAGTGATTATAAATCTTGCTTCCAGAGAACAGCACTCCTTTTTGTAATATTAGTAAATTTGTAGAGGGTAAGTATAAATTATAATTATAGCAGGTATTAATATCGTGAATATCTGTGTTAGATGTAAAGTAACTTTTATTCTTAATTATGAAAAGAAGTAAGGAAAAAATATATTGAGACTGGAGTGGCAGTTCTTCATAGCTGATGAATTTCCTCCTTTTCAGGTTATGCTGCAAGGGTTGAGTTTGGGCTCAAGCTGGGATACACAGAGTCACTTGTTCAGGCAGCTCTTCAGAAACTTGGACCCAGTCCTGAACAAAATGAGCTCCTAGAAGAGCTAATTAAACTTGGGGCTCAGGCCCCAAGACAGCAAGACCTTGCTCCCGAAGGAGCTGAAGAATCAGACTCCACTTTTGACGCACCAGCAGATGATTCTCTCAGCCTCCGACTCCGCCCCATTGTCATTGATGGAAGTAATGTTGCCATGGGGTGAGAATTGACTGTTGACTCTTAAATTTTATAATTCAAAGAAAACAGAAGAATATTGGCATCATTCTACAGACTAGTTAGACTTTAGGGTAAAATGTCTGGGAAAGGTTGGGAATGGAGCCAGGATCAGTAAAACAGCAGCAAGCCTAGAAAATTAAAGTGTAAAAAAAAAGCCTAAGACTGATTTTTCAGCTTTCTGAAACATATTTTTGGATCATAATCTATGTACAACAGTTTCTTGGTTGGAGAACTGGTATTGTATTCTGTTTTTTTAGAATTTGAATAATCTTTCTCATTTTTTCTCTCCTTCCCTCCAATAAATAAATGTTTTTGTGTAATGAAAGTAAGTGAACATATTGTCACATGATAGATTGTGACTGTAGATGGGGTTTGGATTAATGACTCAGTTTCACACTTTGATACAGTGCATGACTACACTTTACAGTTCACATTTAGTAACATTTATGCAATATATACAGAGGTTTCCTATCAATGAAGGCTTTTGCAGCAGGTTGTGCCTTATTTTATGCAGCTACTCTGAAACTGCAGTTAGTCAGCTGAATGGTTGTAGACCTGACTGCCGACAAGTTTAATCCTAGTTCTCTGGTCCTGGTTGTAACACCTCAGTGCAGAGCCGTTACTTAGCAGTGGCTATTCTATAGTTGCTGGTTTCGAGGTAGTTGCCAAGCAACAGGTCTACGTGCCACAATATAAATAATTATCCATGATAAGTTTAAGAAAAAATCTGGTTTTGTTACAAATCTGAAAACTGAGAAGATTCGTATGACCTTTCTTACATGAAACCTCAGTTGAAAACCACTGGTTTAACAGCCACATTGCTGAAGTAGGCTAAAATGTTAGCAAGTGATCATCTTCCAGCTGAAAGAGATTTAAGGAATAATCATAGAAGATTTTGAAAGTGGATCCCAGAATTGAATCAGATCCCACTAGCTTTACTTGTACTGTTCAGTGATGTCAAAATTGGTTGATTTTTGCAGCCATGGCAACAAGGAAGTTTTCTCGTGTCGAGGAATAAAGTTGTGTGTTGAGTGGTTCCGGGCTAGAGGCCACAAGGAAATTACAGTTTTTGTTCCAAAATGGCGTAAAGAAGCTGCACGGCCAGATAATCCTGTTGCTGGTGAGTCATGTTAAGAAATGGGAAACGTAAAGTAACTGTAATTCAAATTAAATTTGAGAGGTAAGGATGCAGAATCATTTCCAAAGTGATAATCAGAAATTTATGGTTTGGTACAGTACAAAATGGTTGTAATTTACAGAGACTTGTGTTGAACCAAGCCAGACATTTTGAGTCTAATAATATGATTCTAATAATCTGTAACATATATGAATACAATTTAAAACAAACGTTTATATGAATTGTTAGAAATTTACTTGTATTACTTGTTTGTGAATAGAGCTTCATCTTTTGCATTGAAACCATCACCATTTTTCACTTCATTAGCTCCGTACTGTACAGTCAGAGTGTACACTTTCACTTGTAATTAAAATTCTCTAACAATATACGATGGGGTACCCAAAAGAAACCGAACTAATTTTTTTGTGGGCAGAGCTTTTGTAGTACAGCATTTTGCAGCTATGAGCGCATAGAGCTAACATTCCTGAGTCGATAAGCCGACTACCATTGCTTCAGAAGGTAAGGACTAGTTTCAGCAGAGTTTATAGTGACAACTGTTTTGTGTGATCGTCGTTTTTGCAATGTCTGATTTTCGTGAACAGCGTGCGGCGGTGAAATTCTGCTTTTTGCTCGGGAAAAGTGGAACAGAAACTCTTGAAATGTTAAAAACGGCATACAAGGACAATGCTATGGGGAAAACTCAAGTGTTTGAGTGGTTTTCCCGTTTCAAAAATGGTGAAATGTCAATTGATGACGAACCTCGTTCTGGTCATCCTTCCACGGCCCGAACACATGAAAATGTTGAAAAAATTCGTGAACTCATCAAGGAAGATCGACGATGGGCCATTGAAGAAATTGTGGAGCTGTCGGGAGTGACTTGGAGCTCAGTTAAGCAAATTTTGACAGAAGATTTGGGAATGAAAAGGGTGGCTGCGAAATTCGTGCCACGACTGCTGACTGCTGAACAAAAAGAAGGTCGCGTGGAAGCATGCTGTGCTTTGAAAGAAGAGTCCCGACTTTTTTTTATTTCCTCGAATGAAAAGAGGCATGAAAGGAAAGCGTTTTGCTGATATTGCTGAGGTGAAGGAAAAAACGACGGAGGCGCTGTCAAGCATCTCAAAAGATGAATTTAGACAATGTTTTGAAAAATGGAATAAAAGACTAGACAAGTGTATTAGTGTAAGTGGAGAGTACTTTGAAGAGGATTGAAGGTTTGTGCTTAAAATTTGAATAAATAAGTTTAAAAAAAAAATAAGTTCGGTTTCTTTTGGGTACCCCCTCGTATGCACATTCTGCAGTATGCATTATGCATGGAAATCTAAGTAGTTGTTTCTTCTTTTGAATTTTTCTTACCAAAATTTTGTATGTATTTTGAGGTTTCATAGGAAGTTTATGAAACCTTTTAATACTAAGTCTAGGGCTGCTAGCTGTGCAAAAGCTGCCAGGTTATTCCATGAAGAAAACCCTTTGTGCCCATATAAAAATCTGAATTCTCAAATAAATATTTTATGCATTTATGTCATCTCTTCACACATACACTTATGCGAATTACATAGAATAGAGAACCAGCCTCCATTCATGTACCAAATTGGATTATGGCTGACCCAGTAGAACCTGATTCATCAGATCACTTAGTTATGATAGAGAAAGAATTACTTCTGTCCATTCAGAATATATTAATACGCTTAATAAAGGTAAAAAGTAAAGTTGTCCATCAACACCATGTAGTGAAATTGAATGAGAGAGTGGAAATATAGCTCCATGCATCCTTAATTTTGCTAGAGCATACGGTAGCATGGTTGAGGCACAAGCCAGAAGGTCGCACGATCAAATCCCGATGAGGTAGATTTTTCAATTTATCTCATCCTTCCAGCCGCACTGTGGCCCTGGGGTCGACTCAGCCTCTAACAGAAATGAGTACCAGGGATATTCTTGGGGGTAAAGGGCGGCTGGTGCATAAGGCTGACATCCTTGCCACCATCTATGAGCCGATTGTCTATAAACTGTGGGAATCTCAACGTCTCACAACCCTATGGGCCTCCACGGCCTGTTACAGAGATACCTTTACTTTACTTTTTTACTAGATAGAGATGTTTGGTCAGTTTCATGCCCCCATCAATTTACCTCCAGGGATAGAACCTGCAGTATGCACTGGATACAACGCTGGGTGGTCCCCAGAGCCAGTCTGAACATGGTAATGAAGAGAAAAATCTCTTGCCATCACTGGGAATCTGACCCAATTCTCAAGTCCTCCAGCCCTTAGCTAGTCACTATGTTGATTAAATCATGCTGACTCTCATGAATACAATCAATATGACTATTAAATGTGCTAATATTGCGTTTTATTTCCTCACCAGTACATAAACACAGTAAACTGGGAAAAGTATATGACATTTGCTGCAAATGTTCTTTCTTTTTTGTTGTAGACCAAGAAATACTAACAGAATTAGAGAGAGATCGTTGTCTGGTGTTTACACCATCTCGTCTGGTTGGTGGCAAGAGAATGGTTTGCTATGATGATCGTTACATACTGAAACTGGCATCAGAAATAGATGGCATTGTAGTGTCTAATGACAACTATCGAGATCTTGCTCAGGAAAGTCCTGAATTCAGGAAGGTTATTGAAGAGAGGATACTTATGTACTCCTTTGTCAATGACAGGTGAGAAGCCACATCACGGTTTTCATTTTTATTCTTTGATGATCATATAACTCATGTATTTTGAAGTGCTTTAGCACCAGGTTGCTTAATGCATCACTGAATTATTAACAGTTTCATGTGTGACAGACGCTTATATGTAAACAGCTAAAAATATGTTGTGTAACATTCTGAATTTTGTTGTTGATGCCTGATGGAACTGCTGATCATCATTCCAGAGGTTGTGAATTTGAAGAATATTTTCTTCGTTGTGTTTTTTTTTTTTTATTTCATAAATATTGTGATCTCCATAGTCTCCATAGGAGGAATTAAATAAGCAGACACTTGATATACATCTTATTTTAAAACCACTCTCACTAGAGCTGTTATTCCTTTTAAGAAATTTCTTACATGCTCTTCTCACCAAAATGATCTACCAAGTCTATTGAAGAGGACATGAAGGTATATGATATGCTTATGGTTCATCTTACAGATATAGAAGATAAGTATATATTGAAGAGGAAGTTTTGAATCTTCATATAATTTCCTTTTGTTATGTTTGTTTTTGCCTTACCAGTCATCATCATCATCTTCCTATACATTCCGTTACCTCACTGTGTTTGCAGTTTGACTGATTACAATGATATTTTCACAATAAAGGTTCATGCCTCCTGATGATCCCTTGGGAAGATCTGGCCCAACGCTGGACAACTTCTTGCGCATTCAGCCACGGAAGGGTGATCCTCCACCTCCCTGTCCATATGGCAAGAAGTGCACATATGGGAACAAATGTAAATTTCACCATCCAGAACGAGGACCACTTCCACACAAGTCAGTTACTGAACGGCTTGTGGAACATGCACAGAGACAGCGGGAAGCTCGAGGCATTCACAGTCGTGACTCCAGTCCAGGTATAATTTTTATGATCAACTTTTTTATACATTCAGTGTATTTATGTAGTTTTAATTTGTTATTCCCTCTCCAAGTGATAACGTGCAATTAAAATTCCATGACATAATGTTGCATATATGTTCCACGGTATATATTCCTGTGATATGTATTCCACAGGAAACTTGTTTGGGGATATTTGACAAAGGGAAGAGCACTAATCACAGCAGTTGTGAAGAGAAAGATTGGCTTAAGATATTTCTTTCACATAGTACCAGATTAAGTGTTCTGGGGTGTTTTGTTTATACTGACTGAAGGCCTAAACCTCTAATTTTAGGAGCCAATTTACATTCTTGTTAATTATAATCACCACCACAATGCATACTACCACCACCCTAGTAGTGGTATCATAACTTACAAAAATATAACAAGCTCCAGGTATCACAAAACAGAATCTTTCCATTGTTTTGGAGGTCTTTTTAAGTGTTCTGCTCATGCTTTTATGGTGGGATACCATCAGAGGGGCAGCTCATCTTTCAGTTTCTTTTTTAACCTTTTATAAAGTCTTCTATTGATGGTATTTGCAATTCTGTGTTAGTTCTTTCTTTCATGGTCACAAAAGGTGTAACCTGCTGTCTGTCTCATCAAACCTGTCCTAACTGATATTAATCTTTACTCCTCAGTTCTTATAGTCTGTGCTTCACTACCATATGTTAGCAATGGTCCACCAGACATAAATTCTAATTCTTGTATGTGTTGAGACTAAAAGGAATTTCACTCCCTCCATGCTGATGTCTGTTAACAAAATAAGTAAATTAATTTGATGTGTATGTGTTTTGGCAGGGTTTTTGGAACTCATAGTATCCACAAATAATTAATTTAGGACTTCTAGACATAATAGTTGAAATTTTATTTCAGTGATAATATTTAATAATATTTAATAAGAAACGTTTTGGGTGGAAGAATGTGATGTTCAAAGTGAGATACGTAATTTTAACATTGAAACGTGCCAACAAGGTATATTGCTATTTTATTGCAGGTAACCAGCTGAAGAGTAAATCTTTGAGTCTACCATTACCTTCATCACCTCCAGTGGAACTAGATTCCACAAAACAGCCCATCAGGAAGACTCCACTTGCACGCACCAAGTCCAGTGTACCTGGCATCTCAGTGCCACCAGAAGGAGAGAAACAGAAGAAGATTAGTGTGCTGAAAAGTTGTAGTGTTGAGAATGTGGCAGAGGGTGCTGTAGGATACTATCATAGTCCACAACAAATGACAGTGCCACGTCCAGGCTATGGGCTGTGGAACCCGGGAGTCAGTTCAGAACAGCAGCCATGGCCTCCGTACACTGCAGGGTATAGTGATCAAGGAGGTCATGTGGCTGTGGCAAAACGTCTCTCAGATCCTGAGAGTCCTCCAGCACATGTGGATGTGGGTGTAAACTTGCATCGTAAGCTGCAGCGTCAGTTGACCCTGAATCCAACAAGTGATCCTCGTCTGTATCAGATGCAACGGTATCTGGTCCCCTCGCCCTCCCAGCCACTCGCCACACACCGTCCTGTGACACGACATAGCAGTGGTGGGGATGCTCAGTATGGACCCTCAACAGCGGCCATTACAACAGGTTGGGAGCACCGCCATATGCATCAAAATGTGACACGCATAGCCTCTGCCCCTGATTCGTACCAGCCCTGGCCACCTGTCCCTCCACCACATCCTGCCAGGCATATGCACCGGCTAGGCAGCACATCCGACCCTCAGCTGAACCTTTGCGTTCCACCAAGTGAACCACCTCTCCTCTCTGATCCTTTTGATGGCTCTGTTTGGCAACCAGCCACATCTGCCCATCCACCTTCTGTAGTTTGGCCTCCACAAACCTCACATATGCCACCTCCCCCTTCTCATGCTCCATTTTCAACAAATGCAGAAGATGCAAGAAGAAGACTGCATTACCATCTGGCATCCATCTTTCCTGAAGAACAGGTGCAGAAGGCTATGCAATTATATCCAGAGGAAACTAACCCTCAGAAAATCTGTGCTGCTATACTGTCTATGTTTCCAAAACCATAGCTTATTGTTCGTGGTTCAGTTTCATTTCTCATGCTGTGGGCAAGTGGAAGGCTGAATGAAATGTTAGAAAACCAAGCAAGACTGCAGACTTTATGTCACCCCCAGGTATATTGTGGGTAGTTCAGCAGTATGCACAGAACATCCAGCAAGCTGAACTCTCTGAATTAACCTTCAGAGTTAGTTACAGAGCAGAGAGCTAAGCTGAAGCAGAACTGGTAGATAGTAATTGGGGTGATCTTTGGAGCTGTGACTCATGCCCTACAGGTGGGGCCTTCCTTCATCCATTAACACATTCACTGCCATATATGGAGGCCTCTGCCCCCAAGTTCCTTTTGTCTTCTCTCATTTATTTTGTATGTCGAAATACCAGTTTGAATTTGTCAGTCGGATTCAGTAAACCTTTTGACATGAAAATGAGAGTTCTTCCTTTTTTAAAAATAAAAATATGTTGATGTCCTTTACATTTTTTAGCATGTATGTGTGTTTTTTTGTAGGTTTTTTGAGCGTACACAATGAAAAGTTGCAAAAATATGGCAATTAGCTTTGCGTTTACAGGAAACAACTTAGGAGCCACCAAACAGATATCCATGAAATTTTATATTAGGAAGTTTTACTAAAATCGGTTAATATCTTCCAGTTTGTGTTGATATCACAGAGCAATAATAGACACTTTTTATAAAGACCTGCGAGGTACAGTCAGTAAATAGGTTACAAATGGAAGTAAAACAGCTGAAATTGGCTAATAGGTTTTCTGTGTGTATCACTAGTCCAGCTTCATAACAGTCTAGGTAGCAGATGCACATACACATGTTCAGTGGCTGGTTTCAGTAGTCAACATGGGGACTGTGCTTGAGGAGTATCCTACTAAAGAGCAGCATTCTGTTGTACGTTTTTCTGTGGGCAAAAGGATATTCATACAGAAATATTTCCTGTTTATGGTGAGAAGTGTTTGTTATGTAAAGTGCTTTACAACTGGGCCGAGAAATTCTCTCAAGGACATTCAGAAGTTGCAGATGATGTTCGCCCAGGTGCAGATGTGGCTGAGACAACAGTCAAAAGACTTCTGTGCTGTGGGTTTCATTGCAATGGTAAAAGGATGGGACAAGAATATCAATGTTGGTGGAGGAATGTTGAGAAACAGATGTTTTTCCAGGTTCAAGTATCACAGTGTTTTATGTTTTATATCCATTTGTGACCTATTTACTGACTCTACCTCATATGTGCATTTCTGCACACATCTCAAACATAACTTCCTAAATATTATCCACAGTGACAATTTTCATTAAACATGCATTTTATGCAAAATAAAATTTGTTTGTAAGTCTTGCAGTTTTAAAGTTATTTAATGCCTTCGAGACTTGATTTGGCGCCCTGCCTTTTTTTACATTTTCTTTTAAACAGCAGCAAATCCCCATTGTTGTGGCTTTGTCTTATTTTTAGATCTTATGTGTTGTTATCACTAAATGAAATGAGTTTTTGGTTAAAGGGAGACCAGAAATGCATTAGACTGCCATCTGTTAATAACAATTGAGGAGTGAACTTAAAAATGTCTCCGACACCTTGTATAGCTGTTTGGACAGACTGGCTGAACACATCTCAGAGACGATGTTAATCAATGATAGGGTAAACAAAAGTAACCAGATATGCCAAAATTTTTACACTATGCATACATTTTCCACCTTATGCATTTCAGAGGCAATGTTAGTCAACAACAGGTGAAAAAAAGTGATATGCTAAAATAATATTATGTTTCAGCATCCCGTTGCACTGTATTTTTGCCACTTATTTGCTTCTATCTCCTGTAGAACTTACACTAAGAGTTTTAGCATTCAAAGTTTAATCTTTAATCTTTAAAACTCTTAGATCTTTTAGGCAGTATGTCTTTGTCGTATCTCACACAATCTATTTCGGCCTATGTGGCCGCCATCAGGTGCAGTTGTTTTGGTGAAATTGCTGCACTTTATAGACTGTCATAACACTTTTTTTAATTTGTGAATTATCTTAAATAACTGCAGAAGAGACAGCAGGAGGAAATACATGCAGCACAAAAAATGCACCAATCACTGACACGTTTTGCAAAAAAAAAAAAAAAGGAAATTATACTTCAGAATTGTAGATAAATCATAAAATTAGGAACAAGGTGTTATGACAGTATATAAAGAGCAGAGTTCCACCAGAAAAATTCTAGCACACCTGATGATGGCCGTGTAGGCCAAAACATGTTGCGTGAAATACGACAAATAAAGACATGCAACCTGAAAGAGTTAATTAAATTAAATTAAATTAAAAATTAAATTTTGGATTTTGAAACTTTTACTATAAGTTACATGGGAGAGGGAAGCAAATATGTGGGAGAAAAAATATGCCAAAATATTTATGCTATGCACTCATTTCTCAAGATGGTCATTATTTCTTTTGTTCCCTCCAGGCAGTTTGCTGGAATAATACTTAAAGGCTACCATGACTATCAAGTACTAAGTCCTTTCTACTCATTTAGTTGACCGTCACAACACAACAATAAAAGAACTTCAAGGACAATGCCCAGATATAGTTCTGCTACCTGTTTCAGCTACTAGTGGCCATCATCAGGCAAACACACTTCAAAAAACGTACACCACCGAACTGCAATACGCAAAATTTGATACAATGTCATAAATCATTTAAGATAATTTGCAATAAGAATAAAATAAGAAGGTTATTTAAAACTAATAAATGTCATATAAAAAAACAAAATTAAAATTTGATTTTTTATATATGACTTTTATTGGTTTTAAATAACCTACTTATTGTATACTTATTGCAAATTATCTTAAATGATTTATGACATTGTATCAAATTTTGCGTACTGCAGTTCGGTGGTGTACGTTTGTTGAAGTGTGTGCCTGATGATGGCCACTAGTGGCCGAAATATGTAGCAGAACTATATTTGGGCATTGTCCTTGAAGTTCTTTTATTGTTGTGTTGTGAAGGTCAAATAAATAAGTTGTATATATTGTAACACAACAGGATGCATGAAATGAAAATTCCTTTCTACTCCCCCATTCATATAATCACCCTATCATCTTGATACTAACCTCTCCAATTTATACAAAGTCATTAAATAACTTATGAAACTTCAGGCCATTGGTTTCATCAGTCATGACTGATGAAAAGCATATATGTTTTAGTTGTTGCAAACTTCTATGCCAAACATTAATGTTTGGCATAGAAGTTTTGTGGAATCAATATGTAAGTACTCTTTGCAGGGCAGTGTTTGTTGCTTGTTGATATGTTGTTTTGTTGTCCTCACTCTATTGTCATGAAAACAAAATGCAAAATTTACATATTTAACATAGTGTTTAGTTTATTTTTGTCTGTGAAAAAAATATATGAATTGAAATGAGCAATATATTTACCATAAATTCTTTGATGTAAAGGAAAGAAACAGAGGAAAAGGAAGAGGAATTATAGTGATGGACAAATAAAAGAGATTGGAAAAGGAATAAGGGAGGGAATGAGATAAAGATATGCAAGTTTGTGTAGCTAATGAATAGGCTTACTGTTAGAATCTGAATAGGAATTACACTAGTTGTCTTTATTGGTTTTAATGTTGGAGTTTCAGCAGTTACATGAGTGGAAAAGCATTCATCTTTTAGAAAATGCATTGTTTACTTTATTTAATGATACTGTGTCAACTGCTTCAGTTATGTGCCATTGACTGATGTGATGATTATAAACAATACGAGTAGCACAGGAAGGCTGTGGATGGAAGAGTTTGAGACATAGTTTAATGCACAATACCAGCATTTGCCTATAGGGACTGGAGACACCTACAAAATATCACCTTTCTGAGAACAACCAGTTCCCTTCCTGATATTGAAACTCCGAGCCTCCTGAACTTGAAGCATGAGTTTCAGTCATTACACCATGATGTTTGGTGTCCTCTTAGAAATATGGCTGTGAGTATGTTGACGGAAAAGCTTATCACTCTGATGAAACCCAGAGGACCGTTTATAATGATTTTGCTGCTGATTTTTCTGGTAGAAAGACTGCCCATAGCTGGAAACTGAAGCCAGTTCAGTTTTCTGTTTGCTCATAGTTGGAAAGTGTTTGATTGTGAGAACTTATTACTGATGCTGGAAGATGTTAAGAATGTTGGATCTCTTCCAAATGTTGCTGAGTGGATCAAGAATACAGTTTTTCCATATGTCAGCCAGCTGTAGTAAGTGGCTACTAGTTCTCACTCAAGTATCTCCATTCATAACAATTAAAAACTTATAATCAGCAATTACTTCACTTATGTTATCAGTGTTCAAAGAATTCTTATCTGAAGAAAAAATACTATGCAGAAGTTTGTGCTCCTGGGTCCATTCAGTTATGATGATTACATTGAATTGTTAACAGTGTACATCACAATAATTGTTATTTGTAATCATGACCAAAATTGAGCATTTCTTTTAGGTTAGAGGTAGGAATGTGCAAGATTGTGAGTGAACAATTCAGCATCACATTCTCATTGCTTAGAAGTGTGCTGTACATGCTCCAACATAACTTTCATCTGTCACAGGGGGACATGTACGTTCCTCCTGCAGCCACTGCTGTATGCTGATTTTATGTGTCAACTGTTTTTGGAATCATGATGATGAAACTGTCCTGTCTACCTTAACTTTTAATCTGATGAGGAATGCTAAAGAGCACTGCAGCTTGGCTATTCTGTAGTTGGTTCCAAAGAAGACAGAGGCAAATGCTCATTATTATCAGTTCACTTGCTAAAACCTTTGGCTGTTCACTAGTAAACTTCTTAAATGTTTCCCTCATTATTGCCAAAACAGTAAAAAGGCTATTTTTTGTCTTCTATATACTGTTGTCAAGGTATTATAAAATCAATGAAGATTTTATGTGACACTTGAGAGTTCTGCCATATAGTTCAACAGAAATACCATAAATGGAACACCTACATTTACAACATATCTGATTTGCATTATGGTAGAAATATTGCATGTCAGAAATGACTAAAGGGTTAACCCTTTTAAGTGCAGTGGTTACTATGTGTACCACTTGCTTCAACACACTGAAACTCTGCATTCTGCCCACAGAGTGTATTTGTGTGTTTCATATGGTTCTCATAGTAAACAACATTAATTGGTTGAGTTTTGTAACAGAGGTGTAATATGTCTTCTGTGAGGTACAAACTGAAATCTATATATATCTGGAAGAAATTCAGTCCTTAACCCTTTGACGTGGTCATTTAAATTCCGCGGCCGCGGCTCCTGCGGTAATATATTCAGCCGGCCATTTAAATTTTGCTCGAAAATTATTTATTCATCATTGTTCTTAAATTCTATGAGATAGGAACATGAAACTTTCACTAAAATGATCTTAAAAGGTGGTTTTATAACCTTACCTTATAATATGCGCGCCCTTTATATCTTCAATGGAAGCAGGTTGTTTAGTATTTGAGCAGTGAATGGGACGCCTTGAAGCATGAAACTTTCACTAAAATTATCTTAAAAGATGGTTTTTATAAACTTACCTTATAATATGAGCGCCCGGTATCTATTCGAGCAGTGTAAGGAAGGCCTTGAAGCATTCGTGTAACCCAACGGTGCCCCACATTCCTCGCTCCGATATTTACGGTCATCCCTCGAAACGACCACCAAGGTCAGTACGATAAAATGACGTCAACTGGAGCGATGATTATGAAGGAATGAGTACTTTTCCCTCCCCCACACACATCCGTATCGTCTCAGGGGGTGACCACAGTGTCCTGCCTTATATTGTGGCGTT